TGTTTACTTCCAAAGTGACGTGGGTTTGTTTTTGTGTGATACACTATGGGCAGTATGGTTCCTCCTGCCCATCTGTAGGACTGGCACTGTTTGTAGTGTAGAAGGAATTAACTGTAGACTGAGGTAATTAAATCTTCCAGCAGCTGTCCAGCCTGGCTGGTGGGTTAATTGGTAGCAAAATATTGACCATGCTCAGATCTTTGTTTTAGGATCTGGTCTTTGTGTCAAATTGACACTGCTAACTGCAAATGCAGATTAATTACATTCACTGGTGGCATGCTGTGAAGGTAATGGGTTTAATCGCTGTCCTAATCTTTTTGGTTTTATTCATACAGTCTAAAACATGCTCAACAGATAAGCATATTAATTTGGATGTAAGAGGAGCTAATAAAGCTTTTAACTTTCTATATGCTCGCTCTTTACAGGATTTCTCTGGTTTTCAAGTGAAAGCATAACATTATTTTGTTTGTGAGTGCTTACCAGGACAACCTTCTGATAACCATTAATCTCCTCTTAGTGAAACAAAGTCTGACAGAGTTGTCATTTTTCCAACTGCAACTCCGTATTTGAAGCTAACAATCTAATCATTGTGCTGCCTTTCTGTACAACTTTTTGGCATGACATCAATTTCCTTGTTTTGTTTCCACAAAATTAAAGCACGAGAACTACTTTGGGACAACAATGTATAGTTTAAAAGGCATTTTTAGCTTTCTAGCTTTCTTTTCTGGTATACTGCCACTGCAGCAGCATTAAACCAAACTCCAGGGAAGAGCCTCAACACGTGCAAATCTCATTTTTTCCAAGGCCACTTGCAGACGAGATTCTTCAGATGTTATAGGGTACGTCATATTCTCATCACAGTGCAGCTAAACGGAGCTGAACAAAGTACTCTGAGTGCTGGTCAGACCTCTCTGTACTCAGTCTCTGCTTAATGCACGAGGCTTTGCCTTTTATTTCAGATAGAAATCAGTAACCATCTCCTGCAATCTCTACAATGCATTCCATCCAAAGTGCACTGATCTAATTAATTTTGATATGTGGTTATTAAACAACTAATATCATAATGACAACATTGAAATTATAAATTCAGATTTTTCTTCATTTTTATGCATAAATGCCAAATGTTTACCAGTTCCTGTGATGTAAAGATGTTACGTCTTTGTCTGTTTATGTGAATACAAACAGCCTGTATCACATAGTGCAGCACATAACCGTGACAGGCATTTTTCTGTGTATTTTGACATTTTGTCGACCAGTCAATAAATTAACAAACAATACAAATGTTAATTTCACTGACAATAAAAATCGGCTTATGTAATTCCAATTTAGTCAAATGAGTTTAAGAAACTCTCTCTTTGCCCATTAAATCTTGTATTATTAACCTAAGGTCATCACATTTCTGTGCTTTTTGTAAACGGCTTATGACACTGACCTAAGAAATAAAAACTGCAGCACATAACGTTCAGACGTTTAGAGAACTATTCCCAGTAGTTACACACTCTAAGTGAGTGCATTTTAAAAAATCTTTTTCCGATAGTAGTTTTAAAATACATAAAATTAACTTGGCAGCTGGCCCAGCAAATTGGATCTCTGTCTGGTAAAAGTAAACTAATCAAAGGTCTATAAAAAATAGCCCTCTCCATCATCTAACATTAATTTATGTTTGACTGCTGTGATTGATGTTTGTTTAAAGTTTCATTATACTCAATGTTCAGTTCTATGCCTTAATATAAACCTGGAAAAGTGTTTTAGAAACTGCACACCAAGGTCAGCAGTGCTGGCCCATTAGTTAGTGCGGGTAAGATCACTCAACAAATCAAAGCTTAGTGTGGTGAACTGAAGCTTGCCAATGATTAGTTAGGCCATAATACATTAAAAGAATGACTTTACATATCCTCTAAGAGTTGCTGGAAGATATGCGATATCGGATAATGAATTGAGTTGAAATGTTGAGAAGGTGAGAAGAAAGGGGAGAGAAATGGTGGGAAGTGGCTGGCGAGTGAGAGCAGAGGGGAATCAAAGAGTCTGGCACTCTGATAAATGCACCTATTAAAGGTTTAGGGGCTGCATCGTTAATACTTCTGGCTTGAGTCATATCTGATTCCCGCTTCAAGTGGAATCAATTGAAACTCGGTACAGGGCAGCAGGTGTTGCATTCGTTTTTAGAGGGAGGAGTCTCTGGTAAGCAACATCACTGGCACGCATCCGTTAACCCTTTCACCTTCTTTAACAAACACAATCTATTCCGTATCAGTCAGAAATATAATCGAGTGTAAAAGAAAAAAAAAAAACAGATTAAAAAAATGGAAATCAATACCACGTGTTAGGAATAATGTGCTTGGGAAAAGTAGGATCTTTTACATTTTAACTGCAATCATTTTAGCATTGTTTACGCTGTCATTTTAACAGGAACCATGAATTAAACACTACATCTAATGTTGTTAAGGGTTTTAAGTGCCGTTAAGAACATCTTTAGCACATTGAAGGAGTTTTTGGCTACAGAACAGGAAATGTGACATTGTTAATTTGTAAAAAGGGAATCTGTGAGTTATTGCATAATCTAAATTATAAGGTTGAGAGCCAAAAAAACCAAACACAAAATCAAGAATTTTATTAGCTAATAGTTTATTTTCTCACGTATTTTCTTCCTCTAAATATTCGACAAAGCTGAAAGAAGGCTCCCTGGAGCGTATTACTATAATGATAGGGATCATGACCACGTTCAGACTTTCTGTCAAACCAAATTTAGAATATTTAGTTTCTGTCACAATAAACTGAAATAATCTGAACGATTAAGAGTAAAAACTTTAAAAAAAAAGTGGTGTTTTTTTGTAGAAAGTCCACATATGCACTTCCTGTCAATCAGTTTTACCATACTGTTTTATATAATGTACACACACTAACACAGTAGTACACACACTATATACCATTAAACATAAGAAGAATCTATCACAAGGAAAAAAATCAATTAGTGGAAACTCCCCTGAACTGACTTCCCCAGGGTGCACACATTCTTTCACATGCTGCATATGTTTACTTCCAAAGTGACGTGGGTTTGTTTTTGTGTGATACACTATGGGCAGTATGGTTCCTCCTGCCCATCTGTAGGACTGGCACTGTTTGTAATGTAGAAGGAATTAACTGTAGACTGAGGTAATTAAATCTTCCAGCAGCTGTCCAGCCTGGCTGGTGGGTTAATTGGTAGCAGGTGGAAGACAGGGGTGCCAGGAAGTATCTTATAAGAAAATACAATTAGTTAATGAGAAGAAGAGTCTCAAAGTTAAAACTTGGTCACGTAATTTTGATCCATATTCACATCATGATGTACCCTTTACACTTTGTTGTTCATACATCATACGAGTGATGACAAGACAATAGTCACGTTGCATGAATGTAGGCCAGCAATGATAATTTGCCTGTCACAGCCGACCGACACAGTGCTGTTATCATTCATCAGTTTGTCAGATTTCTTTATTGTAAGCTTTTCAGTTCCGATTTCCGTCTCACTATAAAACTGCAAGCCACTTTTTTCCCCTCTTTATTTCCACTCCAGCCTAAAAAGGGTCAAACCCACATCCAAACAAGCGGAGAAGCAAAACTCCACGCTGGAAATTGCTCTGAAAATGAAAATAGCTCGAAGTTGTGCTGCATGACTGTGGCATTAAGAAGATCATGTCAACACAGATTCTAGATTAGAAAAGCAATAGTTTAGAACAGATTGAAAAATTAACACTGTTCATTTAAA